GGTGAGCATAAATAAGGCAAAAAAGCAGAAATACAAACCTACTTACCTTGATGGGAGGTTGNACCGTTTTGTAAACGGTTTCATGGAGCTTGTTCGTGGAATGTGTAGGTATCGAATCAAGTCCATGCTCATGTGAAACGGACCACAGGAAGGTACTGAACAATTGGTGAGCATAAGGCAAAGAAGCGAAAATACAAACCTACTTACCTCCATGGGAAGTTGACTGTTTTGTAAACAGTTTTGTGGAGCTTGTTTGTGGAATGCGTAGGTATTGAATCAAGTCAATGCTCAAGTGAAATGGACTGCAGGAAGGTACTGAGAAGTTGTGAGCATAATGGTGAATATTCCGCATCAAAAGGAACAACTCACAAGTTGAGTCACAGAAATTTCCGAAAATGACGTACTTCCCTTGCGGGCTACCTTCAAAATGCAAGGTAGCCTGCAAGGAAAGTAAGTCATTTTCGGGCAACGCCGTTTGTACTTTCGTGTTTTTGCACTTCTGCTAAACTCTGCCCAAGACCTTCTGTGTCTCGATTCGCCTCAACGTAGACTCGTTTGGATACTGCTTACGTCCCGAAAACGCTCCGACAAACCGTTTATGAATCCGTCAACTCTTCGTGGAGGTACGTCTATTTGTACTTTCGTGCTTTCGCACTTCTGCTAAACTCTGCCCAAGACCTTCTGTGTCTCGATTTCCTTCAACGTAGACTCGTTTGGATACTACCTTACGTCCCGAAAACGCTCCGACAAACCGTTTATGAATCCGTCAACTCTTCGTGGAGGTACGTCTATTTGTACTTTCGTGCTTTCGCACTTCTGCTAAACTCTGCCCAAGACCTTCCTGTGTCTCGATCTCCCTCAATGTAGACTCTTTTTGATACTACTACACGTCCCGAAGACGCTCCAACAAACCATTTACGAATCCATCATCCCTTCGTGGAGGTATGTCAGTTTGTATTTTCATGTTTTTGCCCTTATGGTGAACTCTGCCCAAGACCTTCCTGTGGCTCAATTTCCTTCAACATAGACTCATTTGGACACTACTTCACATCTTGAAAACGCTCCAACAAACTGTTTATGAATCCATTGACCCTTTGTGGAGGTATGTCTGTTTGTAATTTCGTGTCTTTTGAACTTATGCTAAACTCTGCCAAGACCTTCCTGTGGCTTGATTCCCTTCAGTGTAGACTTGTTTTGATACTACTAGATGTGTGCAAGTAGTAGAATAGCAGTGGGTACCCTTCACACCTTTAACACCAGTCTGTTCAATGGTGGCACCCCTGCAGCACAGTTGATGGTAATTGAATCCATGTGCTTGGATCTTGGTGCTTAGTGTGCGTCCAATGAAGAGGAAATGGTGGGATTGGAGAACCCAGTGAATTACTCCACAAGACGAACATGGTCGAAGTGTTTGGACTGGCCAAGACAACAACAGGTGCATAGAGATGGCATGGTGAAGCTGGCATATTGCTCAATGAGACAATTGTGGTAAATACATGGCACTTGAATCGTTTGGATTGGCCAAGACAATGATGAGTGTGTAAAGGAGACAGATATGCAGTAGATATGTTGCACAAATCGTTTGGACTGGCCAAGATGAAGAGTGCTCAGCAAAACACCAGAGTGCACCACAAAGAGAGGGTGCTGTGGCAAAGAGAAGGTGGCATGGGAAGTTGAACTTGAAGAGCTAGATTTGATGACACGCGAACATTTCCTGATCATTTGATGGGGGGAAGTTTCGTGCGTCATCAGAATCTATGATGAATACTACCGAAGTTGCACAGCCTCAGTACAAATGTTCAAGATTCTATGATGCACGAACATTTCCTGATCATTTGATGGGGGGAAGTTTCATGTGTCATCGGAATCTGTGATGCCAAGAGGACAAGAGATGAGAGATGAGATCTAAAACTTACTCCCTGAGATCTGCCCCCCTGCATTTGTATATTGTGGCAAAGATTGTTTAAAAAGGAAATAGATCATGTCATCTACTTCAGAAATACATGCTATAGCTCAATTAGAGATTCTGTGCACCCTATAACATCCCAAAATCAACATTGAAATGACTCCCACTTATTTGTGAATATTTGTTACTGTTTAACCTGTATATCAATAGTCTTTTAAGTATCAGCATTGATCAGATGTAAAAGTTATCATCTATTTCGTTTTTGCAACTGTTTATTTGTGTTTGTTTACCAGGAACGTAACATCACCATGACCACGGAAATGAGGAGTACCCATCACAAAAGAAATCATGTTATTTGGATCAAAACTCGCTGAGTTATACATGAATGTGTATTTATTACCGAAAATGGTAACTGATCTGAGATCTACTATGACACACGAAACTGTCCCCCATCAAGTGATCAGGAAATGTTCATGCATCATTGCTTCTTGAGTTTCAAGTGTTGCCTAAAGAAAAATGTGTAACTTTACCAAATCAAGTCCAATTCAGATGAAATAAAATGCAGAAAAAATGTAAAATTTCAGGGATCATACCTGTATACAATGCATTGAGATATATTATGTAATAAGGTCAAAGTCCAAATAAACATACTTTTTCAAAGAAGAATCTGAAGCTCACCAATATAAAATCTAAAATAAATGAAATAAAACACCAAGAAAAATACAGTTTGTTTTTATGTATATTATGTAATAAAATCTATGTGCACAAATAGATATATGTTTGCACAAAATCAAGCTAGTGCAAGCTTTTTCAAATGAAGAAGTAGCAATAAATTGGAACAGAAATTAGAAGAAAATGGCTGATGGTGCTCGCTGTTGGTGACAACATTTGAAAACACTCTCAGGGTCTCTGGTAAATTTCCATATATGGCACTCAGCATTTCTCCAACTGAAAAATAGCAATTAAATGGCAGAAAAAATGGAAAACAATTGAAGAATGGTGCTAACTGTTGATGTTGATGTTAGGACTGTTTCAAGGGTCCCAGGTGCATTTCCTTATGGAAATTTATTCAACAATTGCCAGAAAATAACACGAAAATCTAAGAAAGTTGGAATATGGTGCTCATTGTTAGCAAGGATGTTATGAGTCCTCTGAGTTTATAAAGACACTAGTTTGTTACTCTCTGATCTCAAGGATTTTTTCAGTACTTCTAACACTGAATCTTGCCTTTCTTCCCATAAGATTTGATGGTTTGATGATGTTGTCAAACATTTTTGAAAGGAAAAATAGCGATAAAAACAGAAGACAAATCAGGAACAAATGGGGGACAATATGCATGTGATGACAATGTTGGGGACCATTTTCAGAGTACATGGCATATTTTCAACTGAGGTAATGTGCACTTTTTGAATCAAAAAATGGCAATATAATAGTAGAAAAATCAGAAAGAAATTGAAGGAAGATGCTCACTGTTTGTGCAATACTGGGGAGCATGTTCAGGGTCTAGAAGAAAATTCCATACATAATAATAGCTATAAAGGACTGGAAAAATTTAGTGAAAAATGGAGCATAGTACTTATTGTCGCTTTCAAGGTAGGGACTCTCTGTAAGGTCCAGTATTTTATATACATGGAAACATACAATTTGTCCAATATAAAATAGCAATAATATATATATATAATGGGTATAGATCTGATGGGCTTTCAGGAGGTGGTCACATGACCAGTTTCCTAAATAATCAAAAATGTGAATGCTGTGGTGCTGCATTGTGGCTTCCTGAATATAAAAAGGACTTGTATCTGCCATGCTTGCAATGGCCCTCTTACACAAGTTATATCAATGAGACTCTAAACTGTAGGAAGTACAAGGTAATAACTAGCTACTTTGCATTTCTCTTAGAGTATAACTGTTTATACTTACAAAGACTATGCTCCCCAGTCAAGACATCATATGTCATGGCAGACTTTTCTTCAGAAGTAAGCTCGCGATTGACAAAGGCATCAAGATCAGCAAATGCTTGCGGCACCGTCGTGTCCTCATCAATCAGCCCAAGCATGATCATAGCATCCAACGTGCCCTTCCCCACCTTTTCAATGAGTTTACCCCAGTCAAGAGCAGAAGGCATGGGAAGTATGTCCGCATAGATGAGATCTCCTATGATAAGAATGGCTGTTAGTGAGCCTATGTTGACAAAGACCTTCTTTGAAGTGGATTTGTTGTTGCCTTTTGCTGACTGCCAAAATCCCCTCTTTCGACTTGATGTTGACCTTCCACCACCAGTGGATGACTGGAGCAGGAAGTCATAAACATCAAAAATAGTCAAATCCTTCTTATTCATCAGCAGCTCCCATAGATCCCTTTTTTCCCAGTATTCTTCAACCCGATCGATGCTTCGATCTCCTTGAAAAGACCCATAGGCAGTCTTAACAACAAAATAGCTTTGTGGGTGGCCTTTGCTAAATGCTTTCCACTGATCCAGATCCTCAAAATGACGTCCATTGTCATGAGCAAACTCTGAGCCAAAGAAAACTCCACGGAAGCACAGAACATTCCAGAAACCAATTGGTGTCTTCAGCCATTCTGGATCATCATATATTGAATTTCGTGAAAGAATACAAGTGGGAGCATGTTCTCTGTATGGCATGAATTTGTCAG